ATAGAAACTCTTCAGTACCTAGTTCATTCTTTGATCTAGATTAACAACATATAGACACATAAACTTTATTTGACATTTTAACATTTTTTTGGACGCTTTAACATTTAAGTGTCATAATGTTAAAGTGTCAAAATGTATGTTACACATACTTGAAAGAAAATGAAAAGAAAACCATGATTAAAGATGATGTGAGTTAAGTTAAACTAGTCGCAATTAACTGATCACAAATTAGCCAATCTCGCGCCACGCAACCAGGTCTTGTCCGCCATTTTAAGTGACATACTACACCATGAGGGAGAGTAGAAGGATGATTTTAGTAAAGGTAATTGGATGGTTTCGAGTGCAATTTGGATAAAACATGCACGAGTGAGTTTTTCAAAGACTATCAAAATAGCACGAGTCCTTGACAAGTGCTTGTTTTATCCAAATTTCACGAGAAACCATCCTACTCTTGGGCTTCACTACGGCATTTTGAAGTGAATCTGACGGGGGGTCAACCTAAAATGTATTGATGCTTATGCTGTACTGGAGCGAGCAAATGATACGAAATTGCATGTATTTGTCACCAAACTAGCATGCGCGCAGTCCCAACACATACAGTGAACAATTCATTCACTTTGATGACTGTGTCTCGATTTAGAGTTGACCCCCCGTCAAATTTATGACGTCATATGAAACCCAAGAATTATGTGTATTAATAATATACATAAAAAGTTCGAGACAATTGTAGTTCACTGACAAAGTATTATTGCTCTGTTATATCACACTATACAACGCTAACGGCTCGAAAAATTCTCTCAACCATGTAAGTTTTGTCAGCCTTGTCTAAGATAAAGTCTTTTCCATTTTAAAGAAAGATAAAAGCCATATTTTGTTTTGTTTTAAAGCAATTTGTGACCGTTACTTGAGGACTGCTCTAAGCTGATTGGTTGATTTTAGATTCCATTGCTTTTTATTAACTTATCTTCGTTTGTTGTTATAGCCTGCTTGCATGGCGTGAGATAGGATAACACACCCTTCCAGAAAGTACGTCACTTTGGTATGGAGCCTCATTTTCGCATACGCAACACTAGTTGAAGCACAACGTGTGAATCACGAAAACGATGCTCTATGGCCAAGATGACGTAGTTTCCGGAAGCATGTATCCTAATCATAGACAGTGTCGATTAGATTAATATTGAAAACTTACATTAATATATTCGCACATAAAATGAAAGAGAAGAGTAACTTGTCCTTCTCGAACAGTGATCTGCATACGTTACAATACAGGTTGTAAGTAAAGTGATCAGTAAGGTATCGAAGACGTCTTTCTAGAATCTTTGATTTATTACTACAAAAAATAGATGTATGCAAACGGTCAGACACAAAATGGTCAGAGTTAGAAAAATGAATGGGAATGAACTCGTTAAAGACGTTTGTTTGCTGTTTGCATGATTGTTTCTTTGCTAGTAACGGCTGGAAAAATGTCTTGTGTTTGAGTTTTGTGAAATTCAATGGACGACTTGTGCTTTAGAAAAATTTTTAATCCGGGAATAACAAAGGATATTTTCGGAAAGAAGTTATCAAAATTAGAACTAGGGATCCAAGGATAGTGTGAAGTTTCAAATTGAAAAAGACACTGCAAGAACTATATAGGTTCGCTGACAACCTAGAAAAGCTAATCGATGGCTTACACTACGAAATAAACAATTACCAAAGGCATTTCATCTCATTATCTATTGCTTTTAATGCGCTCGGCACACGAGTAGCGTGACGTTTGAAACAAGCCTAACACATCAGAAACGTGCCTTGTGAAACTGACACAATTTATCTATTTATTGTGATGCTACACGCATGCTAAATTTTAATTGTTTCACCAACAACCAAATTTTGCATATTCTAAATTTTCATTTGCATTTGCATTTGCAGCTGTCGCTAAAATTTGCAGCTGTCGCCACCCCACGAGGCTACTGCTATGCTAAACTTATCTAAAACTATAATTGAAATAGCTGTATACGATATATTACGAATAATAAGCACTACGTCGTTATATCATTGAAAGGAAGCATTTTATCTTCATCCGTTCCGTATTTTATCCGCATATCCGTTCCGTGGATCCGCTCCATCCGCTTCCGCATTTTAACCTAATTGTGACATGTTTCACAATAACAAGTCTCATTGACCTTTGACTTTTCGAAGGTTACGTTGTGTCTATTTTCAGCTTTTCGCATGTGTTGAATAATGTCACTTTAGATTTCGATGGTTTCACAGTTATAGCTGCAGTGTTTAAAGCAGTTTTGACAAGCTTTGATACAGTTCTGTGTACAGAATACTACAGATTGATTCTCGTAAGATCTGGTAGAGTTATCGTTGCACTGAACACGAGTTTGCACCGTTGACAACGGCGTTGTGCTAGACAGTAAACAAGGTCCGTAACAGTACACGTTGGCTACATGTACCTCCTTGCTTTTTTCTTCCATTGCATAAATCTTGTTGGCGAGCCAAGCGATTGGCGATAACACGTTGGCGATAACACATTGGCTATCTCCTCGTCTTTCTTATTTAAATAAGGTATTAAGGAGCTCTGACTCGACTGATTTCTTTCGTCTCGCAAAATTTTCTTCGCAAACGCCTGTACAAACACCCGCTTCTGTTTAATAGTTGTTTACGCTTTATTGATCTGATGCAATTTTTCGCTCTTTGTACTGAGTTCTGTGATGTAGCACCTTATACAGTCAATGAGAATGTATAGTGAATACACGGTCTAAATAATATCGATGGGCACTTAATTGAATGCCATAACATCAATTTATATATTATATTATTGCGTAGAATCTCAAAGATTTTCTCAATATTCATGTCTGAAATGTTTATATACTTGAAAACAACACAGTCTCGCTTCTTCGCACGTACTGTATACCTCCGTATAATGAGTATACCGTGAAAATAATATCAGCACTCAATTGAATGCCTAGAATCTCAAAGATTTTCGACTCAATATTTAATACGTCTGAAATGTTTATGCACTTGAGAGTTGAGTGTTAACTGCACTGTCTAGGCGTTCTAGCTCCTTCCTAGCTCTGTATAATGAATATACCGTCTAAATATTATCGGCACTTAATTGAACGCCCGTAATGCATAAGATCAATTTATATATTGCGTAGATTTTCAAACATTTACTCAATATTCACGTCTGAAATGTTTATACATCTGAAAACAACACTGTCACTCCTTCCTAGCATATCGTCACGCCATCGTGATCTACGGCTTGATAGCGCATGCGCATTTGCGCTACTAAAGAAAAATCGGGTGTTCCGGGGTAAAGATCCTTTACACAACATGAGAAGCGAATGTTTTAAAATTTACAAAAAATTACAATAACAAAAGCGATTCCTCGAAATTTTTTGTGAACTTGGCAAAAGGATAACAGAATATGTAAATAAGTCAACTGAAATTGCTTAAATAACCTTCAAAGTACTGACAAAGCACAATAAATCACTACGAACATAAATCGTATACACCCCCCGGAAAGTTTACTGTATGACTAAATGAATGACTGACTGATTCGTGTGAATTTCCCCCCAGTCATCACAATACTGTGAAGTTTCGAAGAAACTTCACACTAAAAATCATAAGCGTGTCGTATCTTTATATGTGATAAAAAATCATGTTAATTTACATAAACTTTAGCTTTGCTTTTCTCGGTTTAGACAAAGTTTATTTTAAAAATTACTTCGCCAATGAACTCATATAAGATGAGTCGTTTTTTAAGCCATTTAAAGCACTTGTAGTCGTGTTTTATCAGATATAAAACGCTCGGCCGCGCCTCGCGTTTTATATCTGATAAAACACTCCTACGCGTGCTTTAAATAGTACATAAAAATGTTCGCATAATAAAATACTGTAATCAATCATAGATGGATTAATTAGCAGTGCACTGCAACCAATATTTTCCAATGTACCATGAAATTTGGACCCCATTTTCTGCTCAATATCCAAATCTTGCAACACTAATCAATACCCTTCCTAAAAGTGGGAAACGACAAAACGCGGACCCCAGGTCCGTGGACTACCTTCGTGGACCACCTTCGTGGACCAGGTCCGTGGACTACCTTGGTGGACCAGGTCCGTGGACTACCTTTGTGGACCAGGTCCGTGGACTACACTCGTGGACCAGATCCGTGGACTACCTTCGTGGACCAGGTCCGTGGACTGCACTCGTGGACTACACTCGTGGACCACTTTTACGGACCATTTTCGTGGACCACTCGCGAAACGCCAGATTTCGGTAGTTTGCATGATTGAATTCTTGACTGTGCGTGGAAAAATGTGCATGAGTTGAGTTCCGTCATTAGATATGATCGTGGAAACTCAATGTGAAGTTCAAAATCCATTCACTATGTGACCGTTCTAAAATTATATAAGCTGTACAGTTACGACTTTAATGCAAAGTTTCCAAATATATCCCAGTAAAATTGGTAGATTTTTTCTTTTCGAGCGCTACAGAAAATGCAAGAAAAGCAGTAATCGAGCTTCAAATAAAATAAACATTTTTGGGAAAGGACCTCCAGGCATTGAACGTCATTGCAATTTACAACTTCTACAGACTGTACAGTTCAAGTATTTTTTTTTAACATTAAAATTCGAATAATTCAGTAAAATCCTTCGAATATCAGATTCTCCAAAATATTCCTATATTTTTTCATGAACCAAATTTTTTCAGATTTTTACTTAACTGTACATCAACGAAAACTGAATTGATTGTGAAATAAATAACGGAAATGAATAATGAAATTGTGTTGCACTTCGAATGATTGTGGTACGTATCCTCAAATCTTGGGTTCCTAAATATAAATAGTGCTTGGTCCATGGTCCGGTCGGCAAAATTTCGCGAAGGTCCACGAGTGTAGTCCATGGACCAGGTCCACGAAGGTAGTCCGCGGACCTGGGGTCCGCGTTTTGCCGTTTCCCCCAAAAAGTAGCCTTATATGGCTACCGAGCCTTGTTTTCATAATTGGGATGTTTGGTTCAGAGCCTGTATCTTGTTTCAGGTGACGACACATTTACAAAATCACACAGTTATCTAGACCTGTATACGGAACATAATTCATCAGCAAAAAGATAAGGGATGCCAAGGAGTATTAAAGCTCAATCACAAAAACGAGCCTTTTAGCCAATTAAGATTAAGTATTTTCCAAACAGTCACTACATACCAGTGTTACAATCTCCTACTGTCACTTGTTTATAATTAGCATATAAATCTAGTAGTTCTTGGTCTGTAGGTTTTTGAACTAATTGTTTTGCATCATTTGCAGCTTTCTGAAATTCCTGAAACAGAATATAAATAGCTTCATGAAATTATTCAGATTTTTAAAGTAGATTTTTAACGGCTGTGGATGTTAAACTAGGTGTTTAGAGAAATACTCATGGACGCAGTCAAACAGGCTGAATTGCATCACATCAGATATATACTTTTAAAACCATTTAAATGTGCAGGTATTGCACCCTATTGTATTACTGTACTCCTGTCTAATGCTGGATGATTTTACTTGTCAAGGGGAAATTGCTCAACTTAATGGGTTAAACAGGAGACATTGCAATTATAATGCAACATGAGCAATATGTAAAATGCATAATATGATGCAATCCTTAATTTGAAAAATTAATAAATCACGCAAATCCTTTGTGGCCAAATTGGGTGACGGAAAGTGCGGTTTCTTGGGGGTAAGGGCCCCCCAGAAAAGCTGGAGAAACAACATCAGGGTGAGTAAGGCCCTCACCGTTATGGACATTGAATCTCATGTCCGAGCCGGGCTTCCCCGTGGTGAAGTGATCGAGAGATGCGAAGATCAGGACGAGGGTAAGGGGCCCCCGCCGTTATGGACCTTGCTCTCTTTTGCCGGTGTGTGCTTCACCGTGGGCGAAGTGTGGCCGTGTGGACACCACTTTCCGTCCCGCTTTCTTTATTTCTTCTTGAATGTATAAAATTATTTACAAGTTGATAAAAACAGAATATAGATGATTACTATTGATTTCTTATATTTTAAATTAAGTTTCTATAGTTCCCGATTATTCGATCATCTTCTTCATCATAGAGTTGGGTGGGTGGGATTTTCCGTTTATGTTGTCTCGAAGACCGTTGAAACCAGAGTGAACTGAGATAAAATTTGGCTAGCTTTTGCTGATAACTGAAGAATGTCGGCTTAGCAAAATGGGATTATATTGGCAGTTTGACATTGACACTTGGCAGATATTGCCCAGAGAGCAAAGCGGTTGTTTTCTTTGCTTATCGTTTCCGTTTAGGTTACATAGTTTTCAGTATGGATGTTGCCTCTTATTAATCCTAATTTATTTTTTAAATAAATTGCTCCTTAATAAATCACGCAAATCCTTTGTGGCCAAATTGGGTGACGGAAAATGCGGTTTCTTGGGGGTAAGGGGCCCCCAGAAAAGCTGGAGAAACAACATCAGGTTGAGAGTAAGGGCCCTCACCGTTATGGACATTGAATCTCATGCCCGAGCCTGGCTTCCCCGTGGTGAAGTGATCGAGAGATGCGAAGATCAGGATGAGGGTAAGGGCCCCCCGCCGTTATGGACCTTGCTCTCTTTTGCCGGTGTGTGCTTCACCGTGGGCGAAGTGTGGCCGTGTCGGTTTAGCAAAATGGGATTATATTGGCAGTTTGGCATTGACGCTTGGAAGATATTGCCCGGAGAACAAAGTGGTTGTTTTCTTTGCTTATCGTTTCCGTTTAGGTTACATAGTTTTCGGTATGGATGTTGCCTCTTATTAGTCCTAATTTATTTTTTAAATAAATTGCTCCCTAAGCAAGAGTGCAAGAATGTGTGCGTGGTCAAATTTTGGTACTGGAGGAATGACCATCATAACAACAGTCTGGTAAACTCACCAGAAGCGACCAGTAGCTAGCGTATAGCCAGACCTTCATTTTGGGGGGTGAAGTGAACACCGAAGGCATGAAACTGTCTAGGGGGTCCCGGGAGCATGCACCCCCACAGGAAAATTTTGAAATCTAGAGTCCCTGAAATGCGATTCAAGCATGCATTTTTGGGGTGAAATGTTGCAGAATTCTGAAGATTATAAAGTACATCCAATTAGACACGAATTTTCCCAGACATTTCTCAGAATTAAATACCGGTAAATTGGAAAAGTCACCTTGAAAAACAGGAGGAGAGGTCAGTGTCTTATTTCCCCTCTGTGATGCTGAGGGGAGAAAATCCCAATGTAATTTTGATCAGAAATGTTGCATTTAAATAATTCTAGGTTCCATGAGACACCATTTCCTCATTCTGACTCATAATCATTGCTTTTTCATACGAATATTCAGAATAAGTCTGAGAAGAAATATTCAAGCTATGATAAAACATACTAATCATGTATTTAACAGCTAAAAATCTAAACTAAATCCATTCTTCTTGGAATCATATCTACAACTGCTTTAATTAACAAGATTTTACAAATCAAGTCCCTCCAGTATATCGATTGCCATTTTCCTCAGTCAAGACACACTCAGGCAGTTTCAGCATTGAGCATGTAATGTGTACTCCCCCCACCCCAATGGACCTTTACCTTATAACTAAAATTTTGATCTAAACAAAAATTTCATCACAGCTTGAATTTAGAGCATCACAAAAGTAGTAATATTCCAAAGTTTCGTTACGAAATGTTGTAAGGGAGCGGTCATTAATTATTGGGGGGGAGGGCCGGTAAATTTAGGGGGAGGGCTACCATTTTTTGGACCCCCTTTTGGGGAAGGCCAAATTTTTTTGTGCCCATCTAGAAGGGAGGGCCACAAATATTTGGGCACCTATTTCAGTAAAAATGTTATATTTCAATGACCAATTCAATGGGCCCGTACACGGATAATGAATGAAAGCTTCCATGCAGAGATAATTAAAACGAAATTTATTTCACCAACACCAGAACAATTTCTTTCACCAACGATAATAAATCATATTTTATACATGTAATGTCAAGTATAACAACTAGTTGATACTCATATATTTCCTCACTTGCCGACCCTGTAAAGTTCATTGCTAATTTCAGCAATATGGTGTACATTGTTTCATGTCAATAATATGCGGTACAATAAAATCTAACAAACGGAAATCTTACAAATATATGGTCTGTAGTATAAAAACATATACGTGATCAGTCTGAGTCACATATTGGTTGACAGTATGGTATACATCCAGAGGTTTCCCAGTATGGACCGACATGAAATATGAATGATGATGACGACGTGGAAGAGTTCAGCAAAAAGTATGTGGTGGAAAAAAGGCTGGTTTCACAGTACCTGGAACATTTTCGCGAACTAGAAAGAAGGAAAAAAAAGAGGGAAGATAGCAGAAAGGGCGCAAGTCTGGAAGAAAAGAGAAAGACCTTTGAAGATTACAACTGGAAAGCTATTTACAGGGAAGGAAAAATAAAGAAACTGAAAGTTGTTGTATTGGACATGTATATATCAATGAGAAATTTGAAGCAGTCGAAAGGGGCGTTAAAGCAAGAAAAAGTCGATATCGTATCACTTGACATAGCAAAGTCGCTAGTCCCTGATAACCGTCAACTTTCTGATGATGACAGAGATAGTAACGACCAGGATTCTGGTGACGACGATGTTGTCGTGCAGGAGATTGGAAGTGATGAGGATGATATTGATTCCGACGACGATGAAGAACAAATTTATGAAGGTGATGCGGGAGAAGAGGAGGAGGAGGAAGAAAACATTTCCAACCTTTTGCAGACCACAAGATCTGGTAGAGTTTGCCGGACATGGAAGGGCGGGCCCAGGTTGACAATCTTGCCAAGATCCCAGCAAGATCTTGACAAGATCTTACCCAAGATCTTACCAAGATCATGCCAAGATCTTGCATAAATCCTGCAAGATCATGGAAAGATCTTGCATGATCTTGCAAGATCTTTCCAAGTTCTTGCAGGATCTTACCTAAGATCTTGCAGGATCTTACCTAAGATCTTGCAGGATCTTGCAAGATCTTGCCAAACATCTTGCAAGATCTTGCCATGATCATGACAAGATCTTGCCATGATAATGGCAAGATCTTGCAAGATCCTGCAAGATCTTAGGTAAGATCCTGCAAGAACTTGGAAAGATCTTGCAAGATCATGCAAGATCTTGCCATTATCATGGCAAGATCTTGTCATGATCATGGCAAGATCTTGCAAGATGTTTGGCAAGATCTTGCAAGATCCTGCAAGATCTTAGGTAAGATCCTGCAAGAACTTGGAAAGATCTTGCAAGATCATGCAAGATCTTTCCATGATCTTGCAGGATTTATGTAAGATCTTGGCATGATCTTGGTACAAATCCTGCAAGATCTTGCCATGATAATGGCAAGATCTTGCCATGATAATGGCAAGATCTTGCAAGATCTTAGGTAAGATCCTGCAAGAACATGGAAAGATCTTGCAAGATCCTGCAAGATCTTAGGTAAGATCCTGCAAGAACTTGGAAAGATCTTGCAAGATCATGCAAGATCTTTCCATGATCTTGCAGGATTTATGTAACATCTTGGCATGATCTTGGTACAAATCCTGCAAGATCTTGCCATGATTCTCCAAGATCTTACCACAAATCCTGCAAGATCTTGCCATGATCCTCCAAGATCTTACCAAAATCCAGCAAGATCTTGCCATGATCTTGCCAAAAATCCTGCGAGATCTTGCCATGATCCTCCAAGATCTTACTGAAATCCAGCAAGATCTTGCCATGATCCTCCAAGATCTTACCAAAAATCCTGCGAGATCTTGCCATGATCCTTCAATATCTTACCAAAATCCAGCCAGATCTTGCCATGACCCTACAAGATTTTACCAAGTTCGTGGCAAGATTTCCGCAAGAATACATGGCAAATACAGAATGAAGAGGCTCTACATGAAATATACTATACTCTGGATATAACTTTGATTGAATTTATCAAACTAACGTAAAAGTGTACAATATTGCCATAAATTCAGTGTCGGTCTTTATTAAATTGTAATAAATTAGTTCATCCAAATTATAATACTCAAGCTTTTACCCGGTTTAGTTTGCATAGTAAATGTAGTAAATTAGACCAATAATGTTGGTAAAATATTATCAATATCTATGGCGATTGAAATAAAGTCCGAATGAAAGTTCCACCTTGCTCAATATTTGAGAAAACAAAGGGAATCTTGTCTGTTCTTAATAATGTTGTTCTAAAGAATTGAGTTTCAAGATGGAACTTTTATTCGGAGGTTGTTTCATACTTTACTTCATGAATTATATTAGCATTGACACCATTGTTATTGCAAGTTCTTCGATTTTGTTTTTCTTCGCATATCGCGGCACTTTTGAATTTTGATTGCACGTATCCACGATAATTTGGCGTGTTTACTGTTCTCTGTACTTTTTCTTCGCCATACTTGGCGTTGAGGACAGCTATATCGTAAAAAAGACTGTGTTAAAGTAAGTCTATTTTTTGTATTTAAGTTCATTTCAATGTTTACCCAAAACACATTGCCATTGGCAAAGAAAACTATAGTACTTTTAATTAACACATACTGTAGCAACTTAGTCTTAAGTTTGTATATATCTGTTCACAGCTGGCCAGTTAATTTTTCTTCAAGTCAAATCACATATATTATTCTTACCAAACAATTTAGTGACCCTGTTGGGATCTAGTGCTGGTTTTGGAGATCTTTTCGACTGGAATAGTATTCCATCCTGGAGCTCTTCCGATGAAAATAGGAAGTCCAATAATTTGATTGCACATTTTGATGGCTCTTGTGGTGGTGCATTTACGGTCATCAAATTAATGTCATTGTGCCACTAAAATGAATTAACAATACTTGATATTAAATCACTGTAGTTGAATTCTTTTTAAGTAAAAACGATAAATTACACATGTATACACTCATACTTACAATCTCGATCTCTGTAGTTTCTTTTTCATTTGGGGATGCCTTCACCATGTTTTCCTAAATAATATTTGAAATAACAAATTTTGAATAATACACATGTTGAATAATCATAGCTCAAACCATTAATTTTATATGAAAGATCTCTATATTTTATCCTAGCTTCACTGGTTGGCATAATGAAACTTAACTCACTAATGAAGCTCACATTTATACCGTAGTGTGAAATTGGGTGTTCCTATGCGCTGCATTTACGATGTTTGGCACCGGATCTGTCAAAACTACGGTTATCAGAACATTTCAGTAGCGCAAGCTGCGCAAAAGCCGTGTAATAAATATAAGACTGTGTGAATATAATAATTTGTGGTCCCAGGGGTATTCTCAACGGCTTTGTCATTCTTAACAAAACGTTAAACTAGGCATTATCACGTAAAAGCTTATTGCGACCAATGATGAGGTGTTATTAAATTTATTTAAAGTCGAAATTACAGCAAGCATTGCATCGCTTTAGCCGATTAACTTAGCCTTTTGTAAGGTTATTTGAAAAAGCTTGAAACATTTATTACATGTGGTAATCAAACTGCTTAGCGCTCATTCATTCAATATACAAATAATGTGTTACAAAATAGGTTGTAAGCACTTACTTTTTATTTAAGACAGCTCGACAAGTTATCCTTTCTTCTTTAGTGCAGCAACAAAGTCGAGGAACAGAAGTATAAACTGCCGTGTACCTTGTATGTTTGACTTATAAAACGCGCCTTGGGGCTTTTACAAACGGTTGTCTACCACAAATATGCGAAAAATGCGCAGATGACAAGATTTACAGATATTGATTGATTGATCTCATTTCAGTCATTTGGATCTGGCACGCAAAGGTGCGAGAGCAAATGTGCGCGTAAAAGCCTCCTTTCACAAGGATCTTTCAAAATCATGACATTTTTGGTATGATCATGGTAAAATCATGACAAGGGATTGTGTCAAGAACTTCCAAGATCAAGATAGATAAGATCTTGGCAAGATTATGCTGGGATCATGGTGAGATCTTGACAAGATCTTCCAAGACCATGGCAATATTATAATAGAATCTTGGCAAGATTGTGATAAGATCTAAGATCATGATGGGATCTTGAAAAGATCCTCCAAGATCATGGCAAGATTACAATAAGATCTTGGCAAGATTTTGGTAAGATATTGGCAAGATCATGCTGAGATCTTGGCAAGATCATGGTGAGATCTTGTCAAGATTTCAAGACCATGGCAACATTATGGTAGGATCTTGGCAAGATTTTTGATAAGATCTTGGCAAGATCATGGCAAGATCATGGTGGAATCTTGGCCAGATTGTCCAAGATCATGGCAAGATAATAATGGAATCTTGGCAAGATTGTGATAAGATCTTAGAAAGGATCATGGTAGGATCTTGGTAAGATCATGGTGGAGTCTTGCCAAGATCCTCCAAGATCATGGCAAGATTACAATAGGATTTTGACAAGATTTTGATATGATCTTGGTAAGATCATGGTGGAATCTTGCCAAGATTGTGTAAGATCATGGCAAGATTATGATAGAATCTTGGCAAGATTGTTATAAGATCTTAGCAAGGACCATGGTGGGATCTTGGCAAGATCATCGTGGGATCTTGACAAGATCTTCCAAGATCATGGCAAGATCATGATAGGATATTGACAAGATTTTGACAAGATCTTGGCAAGATCATGGTGGAATCTTGGCAAGGTTGTCCAAGATCATGGCAAGATTACAATAGGATCTTGGCAAGATTTTGATGTGAACTTGGTAAGATTA